GCAGCAGCAGCAGCAGCAGCAGCAGCAACACTCCAATCAGACTTCAAGTTGGTCTCCCTTGGGGCCTCCGTCTAGTCCATATGGAGCAGCTTTTCCTGCAGAAAAACCAAATAGCCCAATGATGTACCCCCAAGCCTTTAACAACCAAACCCCTATAGTGCCTCCAATGGCAAACAACCTGCAGAAGACGACAATGAATAACTACCTCCCTCAGAATCACATGAATATAATCAATCAGCAGCCAAATAACTTGGGGACAAATTCCTTGAACAAACAGCACAATATTCTTACTTATGGCAACACTAAACCTCTGACCCATTTTAATGCAGACTTGAGTCAGAGGATGACACCACCAATGGCCAACCCCAACAAAAACCCCTTGATGCCATACATCCAGCAGCAGCAGCAGCAGCAACAGCCGCCCCCAGCCGCAGCCGCCACCTCCACCGCAGCTCCAGGCTCCCAGGGCACACCTGAGCGAGGACCAGAAACGCATGCTTCTCATGAAGCAGAAAGGAGTGATGAGTCAGCCCATGGCTTACACTGCACTTCCATCCCACGGACAGGTAAGTGTGAACGTGAGACCCACTTGGGGACGTTGTCCTGGTGTGTCAGACTGCCAACGCGTGACGCGGTGCACGCTGCACTGCAGTGGGGTCTGATTACCTGTAGATCCTCTTTCCACATCCTCTGTAGTTGCCAGGTCCGGGTTTTATCCCCCTTTCTTTTCAAATCAAATCTTGGATTTGAATGTGTAGGCAGCAAACTTCTTTAATTCCTGACGGTAGATAAGAAATACAAAAATTATCCAAAATTCCCAATCTGAAGAAAGCAGACTGCAGAGGTCCCATGACCAAACCTGACTCTACCCCTGCAGCTTCTCTTGCAGGCCCTGCCATCCTAGACTTGGGGTGGTAGGAAGGCGGGGACATTCAAGGCTATCCACAGATGCTGTGTAAGATCTTTAGCCAACTGTGCTACTGAACTATAAATGATGGGAAATGTGGATTCTTGATGTTCAAATGTGGGCGAGGTTTTGGTGTCTTCATTACGAGTGAAGGGTGGATTGTTGTGGGGCCTTGCAGGGTTGATCCATGTGTTGCCGCGCCAGCAACAGCGAGAGGCTGGTTCAGTCCTGCTGCTTGGGAGTCCGGTGAACTCTCTTCAATTCATCCAGCTCTATTTTGGGAAAATTTGATAGCGAATATATCTCAATGCTATGTTACAGTGAAGTCTCCTCTTTCCTACGGTCTTTTTCACGATGTCCTCATTTAGGGGCGTAGGCATCTTGGCGATGTATGTTTCAGAAATGAGCAGTCACCAATTGAAGAATGAGTGCTCGTTTGACCAGTAGTTCTCTGTCCTCTTCTTTACTGGTAGCTAGCAGCTAGAGAGCTCAGGTCATTTAACACTTTATCCACCCGAGGAAAGGGAGTGAGGAAACGCACCCCTAAGCTGACCTTCCCCAGCATGGATGAAAGTATCACAAGGTATCACTTTACTGCTGGGGGCTGTCCTGAGCCTCAGGCTTTTCACGATGCAGACAAGGGCATTCCACTTGGAGATTTTTGCAGCAACGTCTTCACCTTAGAGGCCCTCGTGTCTAAACAGGTTCTAACACGTGTTTGGCTATGCGTCCGCAATTGCATGTATTAGTAGGACTGGGATGTAAGCAGGCAGATCGTGTTTGGATCTTGTGTATCCTGGAGTGCCCCCCCCCCAGCCCTCTCCCTTGATGAAAGCTGCACGGCTGGAGGCGGGGGTACTGCTTGCAGAGACAGGCCTGAGCTCTGTGGCTTCGTTCTTGTCCTTCTCAGCTCTCCAGCCCTGAAACCTCACAGTGGCTTCTTGTCTGCACACGCCGGCCAGCTCTGAAGAAATTCTGTCTGGCAAAATGAAAGTATAGCGTGGTTTGCAAATGCTGCCATGAGCAGCGGGTTGAAAGACATCATTGCAATGTGCACTTTTATGTTCTAGCTCGGTTTCATTCAAGAAGACACACACACACACACACGCTCACACCCCATTGAAAAATGCCCTGTTTTCCATGCTTTAAGATTAAGTTCCAAAGGAGGCAAAAACACAGGCAGGGTGCAGGGGGGTTTGTGGTAGCCCCAATGTGTCAGGAGGTTTAGGAGATCGCCAGCTGTCCGAACGGTCTGTTGTTCGTCTTCACACAAATGATGCTACTGCCGGCTATGGTAAAGCATTTCCCCCTAGCAAGACCAGGGATGACTCATGCCAGCTCGCAGGTCCACAGACGTCTGGGTGCCATGACGCACCCGCCCCATCCTCACCTCCATGCTCACCAAACCTTCCGAAATGTGCTAACCTGGGATGAAGGGCCTGTCTTTGCTGGAATGTGAATTTGAAAGGCACGTATTCCAGGTCCCTACGCTGCCTCACTCTGACTCCCTGACGCCGTTCCCGCAGACGCCGTGTTTTGAAAGGGCTCAGCCAGGTGAAGAAGCACAAGTGATGGTTTTCTGGATTAAATCCGTGTGCTCTTCCTCTCTTCCTTCCACCTCACAAGGTGCTTTCAGGGGGGGATGGAATCTTTCTTTGCAAGGCCTCATTAGAATAATCACTTCTTAACCTCATAAAAAGTCCATAAGGTAAAAGCATGCGTGTTAATGAAATATTAACTCACCACTGTTTGGAACAAACTTCGAAATACATATATAAACATGTGAATATCTTTCTGCAAACACAGCATTTATTTCATGTTTTTATCTATTGTGGAGCGGTATTTACCTACGCTCAGCGTAGGCAAACTAGGCATAGCTCTCAGGACAGTTAATTATGCTACGTGCCAGTGCATTGCACAAATACTAGTGTGAGCTGCAGGTGAGATATGAAATATCGTTATATGGGGGGACCCGCAGTTGAAGTAATGGCTCTGTTGCTGGACTCCCATGTAGTCGACCGCGGTTCAAGTCCCAGACCCAATGGCTTAAGCTCACACCAAGAGCATGTGTGTGCGTGCCCAAGATCCCGAGAGGAGAATGGAGGAGAAGGGACTGTGTTGTGACAATTCCCACTGGGGGGTGATTGCTCACTTTCTGTCTCTCTGTCTCTCCCTGTCTTTCTGGTAAGCACACGCGCCCTATAGTAAAAACCTCTCCAAAAAAAAAGAAATATCATTATGTGTAGGTATAGTTTAATTTTGTTTTCTGCTGTTGCTAGAGAAAATTCTCTTTATGCTTTGTTGGCCACAAGGGCCATAACTGACATTTAGGTTTTTATGAATGACTTAAGCACCAAAGCCTGAAATAGGAGACTATTAGACATATTTTATTTCAATATAATTATCTTTTTCTTTTAGAGAGAGAGAGAGGTTTTCGCTATAGGGCGCATGCTCTTGCCAGAAAAACAGAGAGAGACATAGAGACAGGAAGCGAAAAATCACCCCCCGGGGGGGATGGCCACGCCACAATCCCTTCTCCTCCATTCTCCTCTCGGGATCTTGGGCACGCACGCACACGTGCCTGGCATGAGTTTCAGCCACCAGGTATGGGACTCAAACTGTGATCAACTACATGGGAGTTTAGTGACACAGACAGTATGCCAATTGCTGGTCCTATAATTATCTTTTTAAAAAAAATTGCCAGAGAGTACGTGTGCTCACCAAAGGGAAAGAAAGAAAATAAGAAAGCACCCCCTCCCCCATGAGGAAGGGTCTTGCTACAATCCCTTCTCCTCCTTTTCTCCCTCCTTTCAGGATTTTGGGCATGCACGCACACACACCTGACATGTTTTTCTTTTTCTTTTTCTCAATTTGGCAGAGGGCACATGAGCTCCCTGGAGAGAGAGAGAGAAAGAAAGAGAGAAAGATCTCCGGAAGGGGAATGGCTGCATCTCAGTTCTGTCTCTTCCATTTCTCTCACCTTTCAGGCTTCTGGGCATATGCACACCTGAACCCAGTGTGCTTCTCAGGCCACTGAGTCCAGGCCTCACGGTGCACAGTCAGCTGTGTGGGATCCAGCCACCTCAACTGCCACGCCAGGAGCTGAGACACTTGTCTTCCCAGCCATTGGTTCATGCTCAGTCTACGTAGTCAGCCACGTGGGATCCACTCCCTTAACCACCAGGCCACTGGCTGACCCTCCACATTTACCTTACATATACATTTACTGATTTGGAACACGTGTAGAAAATGCTGCTTCTCTCAGAAATGAATAGAGATGCATCCACTTCTTGTATATTAAAAAGAAAGAAAAAAAAGAGGGAATGGAAACCAGAAACAGAAAAAAAATCCAAAAATTTTAAATGTTTTATCAAGTAGATTCTACTTCTCAGAATTTGTATGTTATCCCATGAACAAAGGTTACGCTCATAAAGGCCAGCCTCGTAACGCAATGATTAGGCACCAGATCTGCAGAAATGGATCCCACGTGGCTGACTGGGGTTCAAGTCCCAGCCCCATCAGCTTCATGCTGGGTATGTGCCCACCTGGCAAATATCTCAGCAGGTTGGAGAAAAGGAGAAAATAAGGACTGTGTGTGACCAGGCCCCATCAGGGGATTCTCTTTCTCTCTCTCTCCTGTGCGTGAACCCTCTGGCATTTAAAAACGGAAAAGATTATCCTCTTATATTACTTATGAGAGTAAAAAGTTTGAACCAACATAAGTCTTTGGATAAATAACATACATGAAAATCATGATATTAAAAATGCCTAATCACATGGAAATGCTCATAATTAGAGTGAGATAAGATTATAAAACAGTATATGTATTACAATCCAAACTGGGGTTTTGTTGAGAGATTTTTTGTTTTTGTTTTTGCTATAGGGCATGTGAACTCACCAGAGAGACAGAGAGAGACAAGGAAAGTAAGAATCAGCCCCCAGGGAAGATGGCCACACCACACACCACAGTCTCTTCTCCTCTAGTCTCCTCTCTGAATTTTGAGCACGCATGCACACATGCCCAGCATGAGTTTAAAGCTACCAGGTCTGGAATTTGAACTGCGGTGGGCCATATGGGAGTCCAACGCCTTAACCTCAGCACCACCTTCTGGCCCCCAAACTGTTTTATACTCGTAGAACCAGTGTGATGGCATGCACCAAGATTCTGCTGCTACACAGACTCGGACCACAGGGAAGCCTCAGTTTGATTCCTGCTCCAACCTCAAGGCAGGGGCACAGTGGTATGTGTCTGTAATCCCAGCAGCTTGGGGAGGCTGAGGCAGTGGGATCACAACATTGCAAGTCCTAAAAAATAGTAGCGGAGAGCTGAGCCTCTGTGGTATGGCTCTTCATGTCCTGGATTGTGGGGCTGGGATCCACGTGGCCCACTGCAGGGTCAGATCTCTGGCCCAGTCAGCTTGAAATGCTTGTGTGTACGTGCACCTGCCTGAGATCCAGACTAGCTGGAGGCCCTGAGGAAAGGGATCTCGGCGTGACCAGACCCTTTCAGGGGAGCCTCTCTCCCCCACGCACATGGTCATGCTCTCTATCACGGATAACAAATAAATAATAAGTGAGCTGAACAGTGGCACAGCAGTACTGAAGCATTCTGCATGACTGGCCCTCATGGGAAGGTTCCAGACTCTAGTCCAGAGACCT